GTGAAAAACTGACTTTGAAAAATAAATCTGTTCTTTTTTTCTTATAAAAGGTTAAATAAAACAAAAATATTTGTGGTAATTTTTGACTGTGTAACTGTACAAACAGCACACCATACATTTCTTTAAAAACTTGATATATATGTACATGTTATTCTAAAACCACATTTATGCTGCTTATAAACTTTAGTATTCTTAGTGCAGCTGGTTAAATCTAAATTATTCTGACCCAAAATAGCCACATTGGACCCTGTGATCCTTCATGTGCACTGGGCTATTTTAGATTTCTGCCCACTGGTGACTGTGCTGTATGAAAATGAATTTTTGATCTGCCTCGCCTCTCCAGCTTGTATCCGTCCCCGCAGCTCCGCCTGTGTGACCGATCAGTCACGTTTCTGGTATAAATTTATCCCGTCAGATCTTTCAGCGCAATTAGAGTGCTCAGCCGTTTGTCATAGATAAGGCCGTGGCAGCTCCTCTGGGTGCCACTTTACATTCAGTTCATTAAGAGGATTAATTATTGTCATGCAGTCACGTTTGATACCGCTGAAAAGATGCTGTATTAGCCTTCAAACTTGGCCGTGCCTCATTTGGTCTTTCATTTGTTTAAAGCATGAGTCCACGTTTAATTATTTATTAATAAACTGGTTTGAAGGCCTATTCATGGGGCGTAAAGCCTCGAATCGAGATTACGAGTACAGTGCAGATGATAGGTTCCTCCCAGTTCCAAAATCACCCCTCATCCATCATGTGCACTCGCACAGGCCTGTTCTGATCAGGGACGATGCAGACAGATGTTTCGCACTGCTGTCGCTCCATCCTGACGGTGGAAAGAGTAATGGCACCAAAGTTTAAGACAGACTTTGTTGTGACGCAGTCTCAGGACCTCAGCAGGTCTTACTTGGAGTTAGCGTAAAGCACAGTTTCTCTACCTCTGTTGTCTGACCAGAGACCACAGCATGAATTCAAAGACAAACACGTGTCCGTTCAAAAACTTTCTTAGATTGAGGCTCTGTGTATGTGATTCAAATCGCCTCTCGAGCGTGGAAGGAGGCAGCTTATTAATATGGGAACCCCTGCTGTGATGAAAGGAAACGTGGAGTTTGATTTGTGTGATAGCTGCAAACATTCAGCAGAAGATTATGTGACTTTTGGTTTAGGTGGAAAAAAATGTTGTAATTATTGTAATTTGTAGGACCTTCTATTGTACTACAATGCTTTGATCTTTTTTCCCCCATTACAGGATGTCTTACATTTATTTTGACTGTACAAAAATGATTGATCTGCAGAGATGTTTTGGGAAGGTCCTAAGTGTCAACTTCTGTGTAAATAGATGCAGGATTTTCCCAGCAGAGGATTGCATTACGACAAAGTGAGCAGTGTTGCTCACATTGCCTGTCAGTGACAGTGACAAATCCTGCTCACACAAATATTTTTCAATTCAAAGTTTTCACAGTTGGACCTAAGAGATCTCCAGCTTTGTGCATGGTTTCAGTGTCAGGCCATTGACAGGAAACATGAACTCATTAAAACCAGGGGTGAGAAAACAGCCTGGCTGTATCCTTTCATTCTGCAAGTTTCAGGTTGTTCATCAATATTTCTGCACAGTGAAGATGAATAAAGAGAGAGTTCACTAGTAACAAGCCCAAACTCACGGACTGGCTTTTAATAAGACAAATGGGTTCTGCTACAGGTGGTGTCTCTTCAGAGAGTGTATCTGAACTTCATTGAGTTATGGGTTACGTGAAGAGACAAAGGATGCTGATGCACCAAAAATTTCCAAAAGATTTGTACGTTCTCTAAGATGGTTGAAAAACTTTGAAAAATTGGTTTTAGGAGTGGAGTATCATGTTTTGAACTGATATAAAAACAGTGTTTGGGACAAGTTTTTCTTTAATGCATGTATGAACATTCAAGTGTCCTCCATGTGAGGGCTCCAGATACTGTTTTGTCTGATTTTAAATCATTTTTTAGACCTTGGAAGATAAATGACTTTACAAGCCTGTGAGGGATAACCTTCAATTTTTTTTATTAAATCCCAGACATGCATTTTTTTTAGCTTGCACCTATAATTCACTTTTACAATAACCATAAAACATACTGGTGTACAGGCACCAAAAAGGAATAACAATGTGATTATTTAACAATCGTTCATATACAAATACATTTGGAAAACTAAACAGTGTCATTGGACAAAATAAAGCAAAGAGTCATCATTTTTAGTGAATATAGTACAAATCAAAGAGGGAAAAAATACCCTCAAATGCACAGCACAGGAATAAATAAATAAATAATAAATAAATCAAGTACAATAAATCAGTGGGTAGCGAACCATGGCAAACAAAACAAAATACATTCATCAAAAAGTAATCATATTAATTCATAATTTAAAAGCTCATTAGTTTCAGCTTTGCACTGAATACTTAAAATTTTATCAACAATAAATGCAATTCATGATTAATCTTACTTGCGAAGGCCATATAGAATCTGCAGGTTAAAAAGGGGGTATTTTTTCTGAATTCATTATTTTTAGTGCAATAAGTCAGCTACATCATTTTGCTCACATCATGCTTGTAGGTATTATAGCATTATATAATGCAGAACTTCACTTGTACTCAACTTCACAATACTGTCCAAAATACCAGAGCCCATTTTTAAATTTCCAAATATATTTGCTTTTATTGTGCGCGTTTAATGTTTTCTTAAGCAAAATGATTTAAAGGCTTTCTGGAGGTATTGGACATGTCATTGAAAGCTTTAAACTTTTTTAAATTCATTTTTACTTTATATATGTTTCTTTAATACTTCTGAGAGGATGAGAATTATTTGTTTTAATTGAAAACAGACCATTAATCAATCAGTTAAAAGGATTTATAAGTGTTTGATATTTATTATCATAGAGGTATAACTAATATTTAATATAGTATGGCTATGAATGAATGAATGAATAAATAAAATTATGGGTTTTTTTAGGGAGTTCCTTCATCACCTCAAACAGCAGGGGGCGCTGTGTCATTTTAAACGCCTCTACTTGCAGAGCTTCTTCTCGCGTTTGCTTCGTTCCTCCTTCACCCGCGGCAACATTCAGAGAGGAGATGGCGTCCAGAGGGGGGTTTCAGGCAACACCGACGGGTGGTGGCGGTGGAGCAATGGGACCTGGACCGCCGGTACCCGGTGCAGGACCGGGTATTGGGCCTGGAACACCCTCTGGAAGAATGGGACCGTCGTCGGCCACGCAGAACCACATGTACCGCTCTCCGATGCCCGGGCCTGGATACCCGGTAAGCTATCACTCCATCTTTGCTGCTGACTCGTTAGCCTGTTCGCTAGAACAAAGCCTCCCTCCGCCGCTTTGTCACTAGTGGCTAATGTTATCTTCTGCCTTTCCCTTTGAGCTGGCCACATCTACCACAAACTGTCGGGATGGTCAAAACGAGGCGACCCTCTCAAACTTTCTGCTCAGTTAACCCGTGAGAGTAATCCACTTGTTTAAATTCGCCAAACCTCCCGCCTGCTAACATTAAAGTTAGTTTGTAAGTCCCAGCAGCCAGTTAGCTTAGCTCGCTAACACAGCTAAAGCTAACTATGAGTTTTGTTCAGTTTTTTTTTTTCAATAAGAGCACGTCGAAAGAGCACTGTAAAGACAGTATGATAGTAAAGTAAACAAACTGGTCTGTTGGGATCCTGCTTTTCTTATGATCAGTTTTTTGCAAAGTAACTTTTGAATGGGAAGCCTGAGCCTGGAGTAGCACACTTAAAAAGCAGTTTCACAAAAGTAAAAATTAATGGATGAGAATCAAACTAGTGCCAGACTAAAAGTTCAGTGTTGGTTCTGTGACAGCAGTGTGTTTAATAACTGTGTTTGATTAAATTCAGTAATAGCAGAGTATTTTTTCAACTTTACATTTTTATGCGAAATATGTTTATGCTAGCTTTACTATTTCAAGAGTCGTCTCAGTCCAAAACCTTGATTTTCAATAGGGGATATTTTTAGCAAGATCTACCTAAACAGTCACAATGCTAAAAATGCATCATATTTAATCCTAAGAGTTTAAAAAAAACTTGTATTCTGTTGTTAATTGGTGATGTTAGGCTTCTTATCTAGAGACTTTTAATTAGAAATCCTTGTCCTGAATGATAGCGAATCTGCAGTAACACATCAGCTTTTGGCTTTAATCAGTAACTTTGCTCACAAGTTAACAGGATTTGGTTGAACAGAGTTACTCTTCAATTTGTTGTCTGTTCGTAGATGTTTCACAGACTGTACTTTGTGGTATTAAAGATATGACAATATCATCTGACACACAGAAAAGCTATATTAAGTGGATATTTTAATTAAAAAAACATTCAGTATTGAACCATAACAAAGGGAATATGCAAAATGTAGATATTTTAATGGTTAATGTAAATCCATAGCTAATTTGCTACTTTCTTAACCAGCTTAGTCACATGTAACCGTTTGTATCAAACAGAATCGTACAATCACCATAGTATATCATGTTTATGTCATGGTTCCCAAGTTGTATGTTTGTGTTTTGTTAACTAGGTTCAGATTCTGTTGCATCATTTCATTTTTTTGTTATAATGCTACATCACGATGGGTGATAAAAATGTGCACGAGTTCAGTCCTTTGAAGAATGCTGCCAACCTGAAATACGATTCAGTGAAAGGATCCTGCCTTTTTTTTTTCTGCAGTGTCCTTGGCTGCTTTCAGTCAYAGAGGCAGCCTTTCACAGCACAGTCAAAAAGAATTCATGTTCTGAATGCTGCAGATCTCCAGTTGTTCTCAGGCAAACCAAGGTTATACTAAAGCGCGGTGTAAAAAGCACTAAATGATCGGCACGCAGTCCCCTTCTGCTCACACTGGGTTGTGTGGGAAAGGCAGGGTCTGTGCTGTTGAAGTCGGTCGCTCTTCCTCCCTTCCACCACAGATTGAGGAGTGTGTGTTTAGCCTTCGTTGGTCCCATTTGTTGGACATACTGCTGGAGGAAAAGCTGCAGTCAGTGACGTGTGATTTATCTGTTCGTCTTGCCCGCACTCATGCAGTCAAATACAAGAAGTCGTCTGTTTGAATTACTAGCACATGGCTTGGTGAGTTGGTTGAGGTTGTGTTTTCTAGTCAGTAAGGCATGGGATGTTTTGCTGCTAGTTGCTCTTACAGGTAAATATAAATAAATGCCCGATTATGGAGATTTACTGACATCTTTTTAGATTTACTTTGATGGGCTGTGCTTGTTTGTGTTTCTCTTTCTGCCGTGAGTTAATTTAGGATTATAGAATAAGCATTTCTGCAGAAAGATATTTTGAAAATCTTTTTGAATATGTGAACCGTACCTTACAAGAACACAATAACTACATGAGCTAATATATTTAATACTGAGTTTAGATATTTTTAAGTATCCATCTCATTTTACCGAAGTCGTGTTGTTTGTTTTGATTTGCTTGAATTAAGTCTGATTTTTAAAAACGGGGTACATCATGTTGCTAAATATATTTTCGAAACATTCAGTTGCAAAACAGATTTGTTTGTTTACAATGAAGAACTTCTCTTAATGTTTTCAAGGAGCTTTTTATTTTTCCACCAATCCTTTTTTGAAAATTTACCAAGAATCCTGGATTTACTTGTTTTAAATGTCTTCTAAACGTGACTTCCTTATACATTTGTGTTAGAAGAAGACCATTATGAGTTTTTAAGAATTTTATTTTATCTTTCAGTTCAGGTCACTCTTGTAAAAAGAGATCGGTGAACTCACTGGAGATTTGCCTGGTTAAATAAAAAAAATATTAATAAAAAATGTTATTGCAAATAGTTTTATTAAATTAAGTTTCCTCATTTTCACTTTGTGAACCAGACTTCACTGAATGTATGCTTAACATTTCATCTGCACTACGTCTGCACAAAAAATGAAAGCCAATATTACATCTTTCAAATCTAAATATAACTTAGTATAAGTGTTTTTAATGTTCAGCTGCAAGAGTTTGCCACATTTTTTTTTTTGTAAGTGACAATTTGAGGAATTTATCAACACAGTTACCTCTTTTTTTTTTTTCAAAACTCTGCATGTGTGACGTATGCTAAAGCCRATCTTTAAATAAAGAGCAAATTATGTAGAAATTGCTACATAAAACAAAAATATTCAGCAATATGTTGGCAAATATTGATACACAGGCCATTTTTGGACAGAATGTAGAGACACCAATAAATCTGTTTTGAAAAATGTTCTTTACATTAAAGATTTTTGGCTCAGTTCGATTAAAAAAAAACTCTTAGAAAATAATTTGAAAAGCTATTTTGATCATTAAACCTCTGTGTCTTTGTATTTTTTCAGAGACCAGGCATGCCTCCATCCAGCCGTATGACCCCTCAGGGACCAGCCATGGGCCCTCCGGGGTACGGCAGCAGCCCTGTGTCTCGCCCCGGAATGCCTGGGGTGATGGACCCTTCTCGAAAAAGGCCCGCCCCTCAACAGATCCAGCAGGTTCAGCAGCAGCAGAACCGCAACCAGCAGTAGGTTTCAACTCAGCCACAAAGCTTCACTTTAAACAGGAGATCAATTCTTAAAGCCAAAGTTTAACTACACACATTAAAACATTTATTCACCTGTAAAAGTTAAATCGTAACTTATCGTATTCTGAGGTCATCATCAGTAGGATTACTGTTATCCCCAAAGCTCTATTCATCTAGTAAACCTTTTTCCAGCCCAGATTAGAACACAAACACCAGTTTAAGTTAAGAAATGAAATAGAAATTAGAATTGCCGTTAGTTTTATAATATGAACTTGAGGCATGCCATTGAATATTAATCTTGGTGTTTGTTTAAAAAGCAACAAATTAATTTTGTAACAACAAAATAGTACTATTACTTATTGTTTTTTGTGTCGAATTTATCAAACCATTTGACTGTATTTTATAGGTTTTGGGTTTACTGGGTCGCCTGAGCTGGACGTTGAAATTAACCTTTTATCCACCAAATGACTCCTTGTAAAAGTAATGGGAACATTTTTTTTTAATTCATTAACATGCAAATATTTTTTCAAACAGAAACTGCAGCTGATTTGTTAAGAAAGAAAGGCAACATAAAGTGTCTCCATATTTGAAGGCACGTGGAAGATAATTGTCATTTAACTTGCATGATTAGGCTCAGCAGTAATGGTCCTGTGTTAATTCAGTAAGTTTGTCCGAGCACCTGCAGGATTTAATTTGAGYCCAGCACAATTCCTGATCTAATTTCAGTCCTGTAAATTAGGAACTTCATCATTCTGGGTATGCAAATACAAGTTTGTCCATGTTGTCTTTGTGTGAATATGTTCAAAGCAGGCATCAAAGGCTTTACACACATATTTGTGTTTACTTATTTGTTTTTACAGCACAAAGAAGAAGAAGATGGCTGATAAAATTCTACCTCAGAGGGTGAGTGTTAATCTGTGGGGAATAGAAATTAWGCTTTTACGTAGATTCCCTTTATTAGGGTAACCAGAATTTTGCTTTCAGGTTTTTTGTTTTTGTATTTCCTAAAATTCCCAATTTCTTTTTACACAGTGRAACAACTACATATTGTGTGTTCTAAGCATTTTATTTGTTTTGTCACAAAGAAATTTTACACAACAGCCAAATTAAGCTGTAAACAAGTGTTCAAGGTTTGTCACCTGTTTTTGTTCTATGAAGCTATCATAGATATGAGTCATGAGCTTTTGTCTGGTACTTTAATTTATTTTGGAGACTGTAACAATTAAGACAAAAAGTTCTCTGCAGCAACGAGAAGGTTCTGAGCAAAAATTTGACCTTTTTTTTTTTTCATTTTGTTGAGCTGAAGGTGTACTCGGTGTTAAAGTAAAATAGTGTTACAGTCAACAAAGGGAAAAGGAAAGCAGCTTTTTAAACATTCATAATCATCTGTTCTGACAAATGGTGATAACGCTTCAGGAATCAATTGCAACACTAAGATTTTAGATCATTGCTTGTTGGCACATGCCTGGCTCAGAATTAGTCATGTTTTTCTTTTTTTTGAGTACTGTCATGTGAGTTTTTGCAAATATGTGTGTGTTTTCCTAGATCAGGGAACTGGTCCCAGAGTCTCAGGCTTACATGGATCTCCTGGCTTTTGAGAGGAAGTTGGACCAGACTATTATGCGTAAGAGGCTTGATATTCAGGAGGCCCTTAAGAGGCCCATTAAGGTATGTTTCTTTTTTCAGACCTGAAATTAGCCTATTGGCTAGTCAAGAGAGGTCACTCTTACCTCTTAACTGGATGCTTAATTCTAAGATTATTTTATATTAAGACTTAGTCGTCTCAAATGTCGCGCGTTTTAAAAAAATCTGTTAGGTTGTCTTTGATGAGATAAGATTTTTTTTTATTGTGATCTAATTGTTGAACAATTTTGTCACATTGTGAAATGTTGAATTTGTTGGTTTACTCATTTATTGTTGTGAACAAACRGAACATCCACACATTGTAAAGTTGTCAAACCCTCCTGACAAATGTTTTGAATAAAAGCAATGTCGTTTTTTTTAATTCTGCACAGAATAACACAGTTTTTAATTAAGCTGTTTGTTCTTTTATGATTTTTAGAAAAACTGCTTGGTTTTGAAAACTGAATCTTCTGTGTCACTTCTGATCATCAGTGCTGATGTGATTTAAACTTCTTTCAATTGTTTTTTTTAAGCAAAAAAGAAAGCTTCGGATTTTTATATCCAACACTTTCAACCCTGCAAAGCCTGATGCTGAGGATGGAGAGGGCACAGTTGCATCATGGGAGCTACGTGTTGAAGGGCGTCTTCTGGAAGATGTAAGCTTCGAGTCAAATTTTGTTCATTTAGACTCACAATGTCTGCRTTTTACTTAAACAAAGAAAGACACRTTTTTACTTTTACTCTACCTTGTTTACAGACAGCTGTGTCCAAGTATGAAGCCACCAAACAAAAACGAAAGTTCTCATCATTCTTCAAGTCTCTTGTGATTGAATTGGACAAAGACCTGTATGGGCCAGATAATCACCTGGTTGAAGTAAGATGACTTCTTTCTAAATTATTAATTATTTTCCTGTAGTTCGTTGCTAAAAAAAAAATGAGCCATTTTTATGATTGTGCAAACATTGTTTGTGATGCTAAAATAAATGAACATTTATTGTTTTAGCTGTTTCTAAATTGCTCTGTGAATCGTTTTAGTGGCACAGGACCGCCACCACCCAGGAGACTGATGGTTTCCAGGTAAAGAGGCCCGGTGATGTGGGAGTTCGCTGCACCGTCCTGCTCATGCTTGACTACCAGGTATATTCTCAGGGGTTTGTTTTGCTCCTTTTTTTTAAAGAAGGTTGTCCATGTCTTTATGAGTATAATAATGTTTCATGGGGAGGGGAGATCTAATCGCATGTTTCCTTAAATTACATTTTTTTTATTTGGTTATTCCAGCCCCCTCAGTTTAAGCTGGACCCCCGTCTGGCCCGTATGTTGGGTATCCACACTCAGACCAGACCAGTCATCATTCAGGCCCTGTGGCAGTACGTCAAGACACACAAACTCCAAGACCCACATGAGCGCGAGTTTATTAACTGTGACAAGTACCTGCAGCAGGTGAGCAGTCGCTTCATTTATACGTTTTAACTKGTTAAAAGTGTAAACTGGTGAAATGAGGCCTCTGAAAACCTTGTGAGCATAAATAGTAGGTGACCTTTAATGGTGGAGGTTTCAAAAGACTTGAGATGTTCTGGTTCATTTCTGCTCTCCGTGTTGTACGGTCCAGCAGTCTTACCCGGTCTTTGCCTGTCCATGTATGGTGACTCGAATGTGGGTCTGCTTCTAGCTTCCCTGAGTGTTTTTATTTTCTGCCAAGATAAACAAAGGACTGAAGGAGATTAATGTTGAATTTCTGGAAGTATGACCAGGATGGTGATAGTTTTATTTTTTTGGAACAAGGAGAAAAGAGCAATAAAATCAATTTGAACAGAGGCTCACAAGGCTGTGATTGCATAAAAAATAACATTTACTAAACAAATGTTACACAGTAGATTTAATGTGTTTGCTTTGTATTCTTTGTATGAACAAAAACAGTCTATAACTGATGGATGATTTGGTCCAGCGTGTGTTCATTTTTCTACACATTAGAATTAAACGATTGCAATAACAGAAGTGTTTGTTTTGCAGATTTTTGAGACTCAGCGGATGAAGTTTTCTGAAATCCCACAGCGCTTGCATGCTCTGCTGATGCCTCCAGAACCCATCATCATAAACCATGTGATCAGGTGAGTTGTTAAACTGGAAAGAATATGTTTCTTTTTCAACATGAACTGGTTTAAAATAACGCAGCGGTAATGTACAAGCTTTACGTCTAAATGAAACCCTTTTTCATAAAAGTATTAATTGCAGCCTTACAAAATCCACTAAGGTTAGTGCATAATTTTCAACACTGTTGGAGCAAAGAATAAATAATTTTCAACCCAAGTAAAACTCTGCTGCTTGTGTGAGGTCAAATTTGTTTAATTTGAGGTTGTGCAGCTTGGCCTAGAACAGACTGTATTCAAGCCATAGATATGAATTAAAATAATAAACTCAATATGTGAAGCTAGATTCTGGTAAAATAAAAAATCCCCCTCCAGAATTGTTTCCTAGTGTTGATTTATGATTCAAATCTTTCTTACCTTGTTGATTGACTGTTCAGTTCTCTATGTTTAGCTGTGATGAGTAGTTTTATACTAATAAAAAAAACATGATCGTATGAGCGGTGATCCCAAAAATGAAACCTGACACCTGTAGGTTTTGATGCATATTAAGGCTTTTGTATCTTTTCTTTACCACTGTTTAAATGTAATTCATATCACCTATGATGACTATTAGTGCCAGGTTTGAATATGGTCACAGTTATTTGATTAATCTCCTCATGCATTAAATAAATCGGAGATGACGACTTTCATAGGCACACAAATGATGTGGTTGTTTTTGGAAAATGATCTGTTTTTTAGAAGAAACCTGCACAGCATTGTAGCCCCTCCCTCTCCTTTTTCCTTTTGTTATCAGGTGTAATCCCTTAGTGGCTTTTTTCCCTCTCTATAGTAACCTGAACCAAATAAACAGAGAGAGAAAAAATTTGACTGACATACAGAAAGTGTAAATCATAGAGGTGGCAATCGAGAGAGATGAAACTGGAAAGGAAAAGATTATACTCCTGGCAGCTTCATTTTGAAGAAACCAATAAAGGTTCTTTATTATAGCACCCGTCTAATAAGATTAAACATTAAATTATTTTCATATACTCTCTTCCATCACTACCACAGAACTCTTCCTGTTAAGCTAACATCARTTTTTATTAAACATTATAAGAATATTACAGAAGTGTCACACATAATTCATTCCATTTTTTTGTGTTTGTTCTTGCAGAAATATTTTTAAAAATCCACCAATTGTTATGATAATAAATTAAAAGCAAATATTGTTTAAAATAGTCAAAGTTTGAATGAATGGTGTTATTGATTTAGTTTTAGTATGTTGANACCAATTGTTATGATAATAAATTAAAAGCAAATATTGTTTAAAATAGTCAAAGTTTGAATGAATGGTGTTATTGATTTAGTTTTAGTATGTTGATTAAGTTGCTTTTTTWAAATCCATGCTTGAATATTAATTTCTATATGGATGTGAAAACTTGATGTGCCTTTTAATTGACTAGTGTGGACCCCAATGATCAAAAGAAGACCGCTTGCTATGATATTGATGTGGAGGTGGACGACACGCTGAAGACCCAGATGAACTCCTTCCTGCTGTCCACAGCCAGCCAGCAGGAAATAGCAGGACTGGATAACAAGGTACAGACCTCAGCCGAGGAGCTTTGCTGAACCTTTTTCTGCCTTAAAGTTTGTCCAAGGTATTTTCTGAGAAGCCGTGTCCAGTGTAATTTAGTGTTTCTTTGATATTTTTTGTCGTGGTTTGATTTTTATGTGAGACTGTCTGAAGCTTATGAGGTGTTTGAGACGGTACTTCAAGATCCTTATTTTGTTATTTGGCTTTGAGAAAATGTATCTTTGCTGTAACACTTTTAAAGTTTTGTCAAAATAATTGTGTGTTTTTTTTCTTTAACACTTTTTCAATTTGTGAGTCTCTCCTGCAGAGAACAATTTCACACATTTACTTGTTCAAATTGCTGCCTGTGCAGTATTGCTCTTTTTAGTTTTTTGGGTCAGGTTTTGTTGCTCTCYTGCTAGCAGACATTACCTTGACTGCGAGGCCTGTAATCATATTCATAAGGCACAAAGCCTTCCCGCTGAAGGACATCCTTCTGCATASTCTTTGTTCTCAAGCAACTATACTATGTAAATACAGCCAGGTTTACATTTTACAGGCGTTGTTCACTTTGTAACATTGTTTTGGTTTTGGTGAGGTTTTGCATCCTGTTTCTGGGTGGCTCAGCTTTCAGCTTAGATGGATTTACAGTTTGTAAATTTTGTGTTTTTGTTTGCAGATTGCCCTAACCTAAAGGTGATAACTCAGAACCATTAGAGTTATGTCTCACTTTAAGAGCCAAATATAAGAGATATCGCCCAAGTACAAGCCAGGTATAATCTGGTACATCTCTTTGAAATGATGAACCTTTTCTTGTTCTGTTTTTCTCAGATCCATGAAACCATTGAGACGATCAACCAACTGAAAACCCAAAGGGAGTTCATGTTGAGTTTCGCCAGAGATCCTCAGGGATTTATCAACGACTGGCTTCAGTCCCAGTGCAGAGACCTCAAGGTGAGTTTGTCTGCTGTGTCCTCAGGATGGAGATTTATCTTAGGTTTCACATCACACACTGTTGTTTCTGGATATTTAAAAAAAGAAAATCTACTTTCAACTCTGATTTCACTCTTGTAAAGTTTGAAGCATTTATACTTTCAGCCTTTCAAATGAGTAACGGCTGAGTAAAAACCACWTTTTGTATAAATGTGCATTTCACAAAGAAACAATCCCTGAGGGTTTAAAAAGATAAAGACTCAGCTGTGTCTGTTTCTTCACTGACAGTTTTCTTAAAYATCAAAGTGCAACAAAACAAAAGCACACGACTCGTCATTTTTTACTACCAAATATTGTCTTTGTGTTTATTAAAGATACATTTGACTGTATTTGTTTATATAACACATTCATTTCACTTTTTCCTGGTTTAAGAGAGTTAATTATTAAACTTTTTTTAGACTGACTTTAAAATCTGTTAAACCTTGAGGACTCTGGACAAATATTTCTTTTTCTTATTTTATGGAGTCTTTTCAGTAGACTGATTTTAGTCTATTATTGTGCACTCAGAAGCTGAATAACATGTAAAATTAAGATCGATCTCAAATTACCATATTCTGGTTATCACACTGATTTATTGTATAATCTAGTTTTCCAATACTCATTTAACTGTGACAAACGTGTTTATCTTGAGTTTGTAATGTAATTTAAAATGAAAAGGTGAACTAATCAGTTACTAAATAAAGTCTGTATAAATGTTTTAAAGTTGGTCAAGAGTAGGCCTGTCGCGATAGTCAATAAATCAATTAATTRCACGATAAGTTATTTAGAGGTCGGTAAAAAAATTGAGGACGATAAGTTTCATTTTCCTGCTTGTTTGTTTACTTCCTCTCTCTCCCTCTCTGTGCTCCGCTACACAGGAGCTCAGCTGACGCCTCCCCTCCTGTTTTCTTAGTGT